CACAGGGCCTTTACTCCAGGGGCTGGGGAGCCCCTTGGTAACCGTGGGGCTCTGCAGCCACTATGCCCTTGAGTCGGCAAAGCCGAACTCTGTCAACCAGGTGAGATTTCAGTATCCTACAGGTCCTGGAGGGGCCAGGCACACTGTGGAGAGACCTATGTGAAGCTGGGATCATCCTCCCACCCAACTGCTTGGAAAACTGGATGTCCCCAATTCCAGCTGGCTTGCAGAGAGGCTCACTGCAGCCACCCTCCTTCCTCTGCCTCCTGCCTGAGAACAGCTCACACGATGGCCTCTTGCCGAGCCAGAGCACTTTCTATCTTTACCACGCCTGATGCAGTGGCCCTGAGTTCTGCTTGTGCCAGTGACACCCATTCAGAAATATTGGAGGAGGGCATGACTTACATGCCCTGCTGTGGTCTTCCTGCTAAGGGGACAGCCAGTCCCTTGCTTCTTGACTTTAGCTGCCCGGTCATTGTCCGTGTGTTTGGGACCCCACACTTCTTGTCATTCCACCCTGGGCCTCCCGTTGAGGCTGCCTCTCCCTCCCCACTGTGCCTTTGGCCCCGAGTGTGGCTCCCTTGCTCTTCCCTCCCCTTAGTGGTCTGCTTCCCATGGGGGTGTGAGCTGTCACCAGGTGTCGGGCACTGGGCTTCAGCATTGATCCCCTTGGAAAAGGCGAGGTCATTGAGACCTCATTGCATTTATGTCACTACTGTGTGAGTGAGGGAGACCCAGGACAGCCCAGCTTAGTCCACAGGGGTCAGCAAACCATGATCAACTCTGTCCTGTGGCCTGTTTCTGAATAGTGCTGCGAGCTATCAATCATTTTTAAAGGGCTATAAAAAAAGAGAATATGTGACAGAGACCTCATGTGGCCTTCAAACCTAAAATATTTCCTACCTGCCCTAGAATGAGTGTGGCAAAGCCTGGTGTCTCACATGCAGACATGTGTGCACATTCTGGAGCCACACTACCCGGGCTCTAGAACCATCTTTAAACTGTAGCTATCTATCAAGTGTGGTTGCCTTCCAGGGTTGTTGACATTAAAGCATATAAAGCACATAATCCTGAGAGAGCTCGCTTTGGCAGTATTAGGGAAGAGATGTCTGGGCCTTTGCCAGGCTTGTCCACCCAGCGGGCATGAAGGTCCCGATGGGTAGCCTGGCCTCATGCATGGCTTCCTTAGAGCGGTTCCCTCTGGCAGGAGGAGAGGGACCTGCCAGCTGCCTGTTATGCAGCATCCTGCTGGGAGGTCAGCTCTGCCTTCCTCCCACTCCCATCCCTGCTGTCAGTCAGCTGTGCCACTCACCAGGGCTGGGCACAAAGCCCATACCAGGTGTCAAACTGGGCCTGACGGTACCAAGGCTTCTGTACTCTCCCTACCCCTGGCCCAAGCACCTGCCTGGCTGTGGGAGTTGGAGCCTGGGGCTCAGCCTGTCTGTGCATTTCCTTGTTCTCGGGCCAAGCACGCAGACATCTGTGTTTCCCCAAACCAAGCTTTGGCCAAGGAAAAGGAATGGGCAGGGTAATCTTGACCCAGCCAGCCTCCCTCTCCTCAAAGTATGGTCTGCAAAACAAAATTTTGTTAGGTAATTGGTTAACTGTAAAGATTTAAAAATTCAAATCATTGAAAAATCAAAAAATATTTTCTGGTCTGCATAGAGATGAAGTGTCAACTCTTAAAAGCAATGGGAGAAAACAAAAGATCAATCAATGCATAAAATCATAAATGTATGTGTATATATATATATATATATATATATATCAGAAGATCTAAAACAAAGTTTTAACTTAAACTGAGAAACAATGCCAAATATGGCAGAGAAATAATTAATAGCCTTAAAATTAAAAAAAGTTTAAAACAAAGCTCTTAATAGGCAACAGTAGTAAATATTCATGTAGTACTTTGTGTCAGGCACTGTTTTTTGTATTTTATACATATTTACTCATTTAACCCCCCGCCCCGGAAACAACACAGTGAGAAAGATAGTGATATCCCCATTTAATAGATGAAGAAACTGAGGCACAGAGAGCTCATAATGTTCACAGGGACATAGCTAATAAGTGTTAATATTGGTATTTGAACCTAATGCCATCTGGCTCTTGGGTCTGAGCACTTAAAGTCTTTCACGCTAACCAGGAAAAAGTATATGAAGCACACAATACACACAAAAGAGGAAATACGAATACTGAGTAACATAAAAATTATCTTTCCATTTCAGTGCTAAGGTACAAATTAAAACAGTGAGATATAATTTTTGCCTTCAAATTAGAAAAGACTTTTAAATATAATAATACTGGCAATGCAGGACAAGATTGCTGAAGTTGAATTCCGGTGGCTTTTCTCTTCTTTGTGGTACTAGGGATTGAACTCAAGACCTTGTGCTTGTGAAGCAGGCGACAGAACCACTGAACTAAATCACAGGCCCCCAGGTGGCTTTTCTGAAAAGCATTTTGGCAGTACTCAGAACAGTACGTCTATACCCTTTGACCAAGAATTCCCATTCTAAGAATCTAATTGGAGAAAATTAGAGCAACAAAGATTCATACATAAAGATGTTCATAGCAATGCTATACAAAATAATGAAAAATTAGAAATAACCTAAGTATCTGATAATAGGAGACAGGTTAAGTAAATTGTTTAATTTTCATAATGGGCAATTAGGCAGCCATTATAAATACATTTGTATAACAAAAGACATGATAAATAAAGTGAAGAGACACACCACAGGCTTCTGGGAGAAGACACTTGCTATGCACATAACAAGGGGGAGAATTGTATAGACAGAACGGCACACAAAGAAAACTTACAAATCAATAAGAAAAAGGCAAATAACCCAAACATAAGATGAGCAGAGAATGTAAATAGGCAATCCACAGAAGACATGACCAATAAACATAAAACAATGCTCCATCTAACTGCTAGGGAAAGGCAAACTGATTAAACGTACTTACCAGAATGGCCAGTGTCTAAAGGCAGATAGATAACAGAGAAACAAATTCGCATCCCATCCATTGCAGATGGGAATATAAATTTTGGAGAGCTGTTTGGCCATACTGAGTAAAATTAACCATGTGATTTCCCCTGCACAAAGGCAACATTTTCTCCTGTTCATTGCAGTATTTTTCATAATAGCAACCATATTAGTATTGTACAAGATTATTATATATGAGAACATGGCGTTGTAACATTGCATTGTACAGTAGCATTAAAGTACTGTCTGTCTCAAGGGAATGAGATTTTATGTAATGAAGTTCAAAACAGTTAAAGTGAATGAGTTAAACCTGAAACCTCAGCTAAGCTTCTAAGACGATGAGTATAAAGAGCAAGTCACACAAAAGGTATAAATTTGAATGATGCTATTTTCTTAAATCTTTAAAACAAACTAATGGTATTACATAGTATTTAAGGACGTACATGTAGTGGTTCCTTCTGGAAAGGAGAGATGGAGGGACAAGGATGGGAGGTGGGGCTTACATTTTATGGCTTTTCTCAGAGGAGGATTTGAAGCAAATATAGAAAAATATCAGTGTTCTTAATTTAGGTGAGGATATGTGTCTTTCTTTTAAATTACATTCGGTGCCTTTCTGCATATTGAGCTATTTTAAAATTTCAAGCGAATTATTTTTAATTTACATTTTTAATAATTTGCAATTCCATAGAGAAATGTTTGAATTATGATGTTAGTGGATAAAAGCAAGACAAAATATATTCAGATATTTACACATTGTACAAGTTAAAGGTTTGAAAGAGATATATAAGATATTCATGGTAGTGGGCAGTAGTCTGCTTTTCTTTACACTCATCCTCTTTTCCATTTTTTCTTTTTCTTGGCATGAAGATGTATTATTTTTATATCCAGAAGGAACTGTCAAAGCAATCAGAGGAACATGTGAAGGAGCTTAGCCCCTACGAGAGGGTCCCAGACCTAGGAAGAGGGTGTGATGGAGCGGAAGCTTCCTGGGCTGTCGTGACCTGGGCTTGAATGTTGGCTTGGCCGTTTTCTGCCTGTGTGGCTCTGAGTTGGTTCACTCCTTTATCTGTCCAACAATAAGGTGCTCTTTTTGTTGAGTACCAGGCACTGTGCTGGTGACACGGAATGAACAACAAAACATTCATGTTTCTTCCCTCACCACAGAGCATAGCCTGCTGAGGAGGGGAGGATAAACAGTCACCACACAGATCATACATCACTACACAGTGTGTGATCTTCATGAGGAAAACAACAGGAGCCCGGCAGGAATGGGTGGTCAGGGTCCCCAACCTCTGAGCAATGTTTAGTCTGCAGTAAAGAGTGAGGTCAGAAACCCCTAAAATTTCAGACTTTTAGAGAAAGGAAGGCCTCCTGGGGCATACTTGAGGAACTGAAAGAAGCCAGGGTTTGGGGAACACAATGAGAGAGAGGAGATGGAGGAGACTTGTATAAGGTGAGACCAACAAGATAAGAGCCAAATTGTAGGCCAGGGAAATGCTTCCGTGGGTGCCATGGAAAGTCGCTGAAGGGTTGGTTGTACACCAGGAGGCAGTGTGAAGTTAGGTTTGCAATTGTCAGAGATCCCTCTTAGGATCAGAGTGGATGGTGAGCAGCTTCATTAGTTAGCTGGCTGCTGCTGCGGCCCAAGTAAGAGAAAACGGTGGTGTGGGTCAGGGTGGCGGCAGTCAGATGGACAGACAGAAAAGCTTTTAGGTCTTCCAGGAGACAGGGTTCTCAGGCCATGGTGATGGGTTACATGTGGAGCTGACCACGAGTGAAGGGCTGAGGAGGAAAGCCAGGTTTGGAGCATGGACAGTTATGGGGCGCTGGAAACAGAACATAATAGAACAGCAGCAGACACAGGGACAGGAAGGGACAGTTAGCCTGCCTCCAAGTACTCCTGAGCTGTGGTTTCTTCTTGTGTGAACTGGGGTCCATGATGAACCTGAACCTTCGGGTGAGTGTTTTTCCACCCTGTTACCCACCCACACCCACTCGACAGTGTCTCCCTCTCCTTCACAGGTGGGGCGTGTTATTCCTGGGGCTGGAACGAGCATGGCATGTGCGGGGATGGCACGGAAGCCAATGTCTGGGCCCCGAAGCCTGTGCAAGTCCTGCAGTCGGCGCCAGGACTCCTCGTGGGCTGTGGGGCCGGCCACTCCCTAGCCGTCTGTCAGCTGCCAGCACAACCTGATCCTGGCAAGGATCTCAACGTCGCACACCCTCCCTCAAATGCCACTGAGGACATCAACTCTGAAGAAGCATTGGACAAAGAGAAATTGGAAGGAAAGACAAATTTCAACCCAAACCTAACCTGAGAAATCCAAAAGTGAGGGACTGTGCTACAGAAGCTTTAATAAAGTAGTTTTCTCTTGAGTCTTGCTGTATTGGGCTGTGAGGTTGGCCTGAGCCAACAAACCAGAGCCATGGACAACTGCTTGCCCTGTATCTAGGTTCAAGGAGACATCCTTTCTATTCAGCAGGTGAGAACCATGGGTTAGGTCCGTACCAAAGAACATGGAAAACTAAAACTACAGCAGGAAGGCTCCAGCCTTCCCAGACTGGTGAGACAGAAAACCCAGCTCTAGCCCCATGGTTGTTTCATTTCAGCAGCCTTTGGTTTGCAAAATAGAGGGTTTAGCATCCCCAAGCCTATCCTGAGGTTTGTTCCCAGGACCCAGAGCAAGCAGCTTGCCTGTTCAGGGCTATTGAGCTACTCTGCCTGGAAACTTGAAAAGGACAGAAGGGAGGCAGGAAGACCCTTGGTGACTAGGCCCACAAGAGAAGGCTCTGGAGGTGAGGTGTGAGGGAGTGAAATGAATAAGTGGAGGAAAACAAGACTTCTAGGAAGAGATCCCTGGATCAGACAAAGGAGTTTAGAGCCAGTCAAGCTCTTCAGAAGACTTAAGTCTTCATCTAAGCCATACAGGATGCTGGAGCCAGCCTGTGTAACCACAGAGGCCAGGCAGTACAGTTTCTGAGTTTGGGTCTGTGATAGCTAGGCGCCAGTGGCTTTAAGAAGTTCCAGAATCCACAGACGTCCAAGCTGAGAGACCTCTCATCTATATCTAGTCTAGAGACTTTCCTGCATTCTTCAGAGCCCTGGAGTCTACTGAGGATCAGTAGCCTTTCTGTGGACTGTGGAGAAAGGAGGATAAGTAGACAAAGGACTGGATTGCCCAACTCCACTTTATTCAAGCAGCTTCAGTTATATCCATATTTTATATATTGGGCTTATCAAATGGACAAGGAGGTCCTTGAGAAAGTTTTGAGGATTACTGATCCTTTTCATTGTTCATGTGAAGGGGCTATTTCAAGGGCATATAACTCATTTTTGGTCCAGGGCCATGACTAAAAGTGACCCAGCATGGCCCCTAAGCTAGATGATGGTGGGGTAAGAGTAACCCTGGTGCTAGAAGGGGATTCAGCTTAAGAGAATCTGGAAAAGGACAATTCTGAGTTCCCCAGGTCTGAACCTAGAGAACATTCACAACCATAGGCAGTCCTTGAACACCAGTGCATGGAGTCCCACTCCCAGTACTGCATCCTAGAAATATGGTGGCCATAACCAGCAAAGACCTCAGTTCCCCACCTCCAAGAACCAACAGGAGCCAGTGCAACCTCTGTAATGAGAGCTAGTCTTGCCAAAGTGACCAGGCCCATTGAGATAGAACACTTGGATAGCCCAGAGATGATTCATCTTGGAGCAAGCCCAAGGTTACTGACTTCCACCCACTCTCCTGTGTTCTGCACCCAACAGGCCAGAAAGCAATCCTAATGCGATAGTATGGGAGGTATGGGAGGCCAGCACAATCTCTCCCACAAGATTGCAGTGCAGAGCTCCCTCCTACCTCTTCCAGCGCCTGCTGGAAGAACCCAAAATTCCCAATTTCTCTGATGCTGAATCCTAATTCTTCTTCCAAGACCACCTATAGGCATCAGAAAGAAGGACTCCTTTCCATCCTGAAACAGGATCAGGTGGTGCATCAGCCCTAAGCCCTTTGATCTAGAACCTCCTTCTCTTGGAACTGAATCAGATCCTTCTTGAATCAGCAGAACACAGATGGTCCACACGTGGAAGAATGAATGTCTCTGGGCAGTAGGAGACCCCATAGGCCACTCCATCACCTCCGGGTCTTCTATCCCACCCTCTTGACAGAAGCATCAGCAGAAAGGCTTCCCCAGCTCACCTCACTAGCTGGCTCTGATGAGTGTCTGGAGGTGCTTGCCGCATGATGAGTGAGGAGTATTGACAAGTGTCTCCTAGGGTATTGGGTCATTCCTAGTTGTTGTAAATATCCAAGCCCCCATTCCTAATAGACCATGATCTCTTTGAGACACAGGACCAAGGTCTCTGACAATTCTAGAATTCTTCACCAAGGATTACTCCTGGTACAAAAGTGACCAATAAAAGTAAATGAATGAATTCATCTGTATACCTATAGGGTCACCATGAAGTGGACAGGTTAAATCAGTGGCCTCTGTGACACTCTCATCCTTAGCCCGCTTCTGTTTTATCCCACTTACCAATGTTTGAGAGCTATGCTATGGATATCATAGCCATTTCACAGTCAGTGGCACTGTCATCCACCTGGTTAGCTAAAGGACTATAGGAGCTAACTTGATAAATTTTTTTATGATCAACTAAGTAAATTAACCTTCATATTTCTCTTGCATGAGAAGGGAGAGTGGGAAGAGAGGAACAGCTTTCAATGTGTGCTCGTAGGCCTGTGGCTTGGCTCTTGGGGTGATTGTTAAAGGACCAGCATGTCCTGGATGTTACTGAGATGTTTCCATCTCGCCTACCACACTTACTCTCCCCTTGCTGACACAGGTACCCCATCTGCCCTTCACACTCCCTACCTTTGGCCCAGTGAGTCGAGGGCCTTCTGAACTAGCTTAGATGAGATGGTGCATAGGAATCCAGGCCCGTGGCCCAGGCCAAACTCTTCTCATCATGTCGAAGGCATCCTCCACTTATGAGTGAAGCGACTTGGTGATCAAGTGAAATAGGGTTAGCAATTGAAGTTAGTGGAGAAGTGGAGAGGGTGTTGGAGGGAAAGTGTTCTAGGTCCAGAGCACAAGGGAGATGGGCATGAGGAGAGCAGAGGTTAGAGAGGCATCCTTGCAAGCCAGCTGAGGGACCTTACATTCCATTCTTAGGGTGAAGGGGCATTTAAGCAGAAGAAAGAGATGGGCCAGCTGTGTGGGGTGGGAGGGAAGTTGACGCAGGATGTCAAGTGTCCCCTTTTGTCATACCCATGGTACCTCATGAAAGTGGGAACGAAGCCAAGTCCAGAGGGAACTGGGACTTAGGACCAGCCACTCTAGTATTCCTGTCAGTCCTGCCAGGAAACCCTCAACTGCTGTGAGACAGCTTAACCTGAGCTCTGGAGTCTAAGACTACCTGAGTTAAAGTCTTCACTTCATCATTCCTTGGCTATGTGGCTTTGGGCCAGTTACAGTATTTTACGTCACTGAACCTGTTTTCTTTCCTCTAACATGGGGCTACTGAATTGTTGTGAGGTATCATTAGATACCCCCCACTTAGTAGAAGCTCACTGTATGTTAATTCCCTTTGCCCATTAACTCCCATGTCCCTGAAAACCAGATGCCAGATGGCTTTGTGTTGTTCACCAGAGGCTCTTCTTTGCCAGTACATCCCTGGGTAGCATAAACATTGCCATCCCTGCAGCAGCCAAGGCTGCTTAGCTTGCATATCCTTAGACTCAGGAATGGTTGTTACAGCCTGGAAGCCGTATAATCCTGGGCAGAAGCTCCACCAACTCTAATCCCTTGGTCCTTGGACTTCACAGGACAGGAAGTTAAGGCAGATTCTTAGAGGGAATGAAAAACTGGTAGATGAAGATTCAGCACCCACATTAAGCCTCCCACCCACCCATAGGATCATTGACTCAGGCCATGCTGGGAGGTATGAGGGAACTGAAATCAGAAGGAAATTGATGCCCGCTTGCTTTTGACACCCTGGGCAGATCACTCTCCTTCCTGGCCTCATTTCCTCATCTATCAAATGGTGAGGTTGATTACCCCGACCTTCAGGTATTCTTTCTGCCTGAATATTCCTGAAACTTCTGATGGATAAGAAAAGGGTTGGCTCATCCACTCTACCCCTTCACCAAAACCAAGTGAACAACTTGAGCAAATCAAATCCCTAGGACAGGACTGTAGTAAGATGCCTCCAGGCTGAGAGAGATATTTGGTGAGGTGGTCTTCCAGGCTGGACCTGCAAGAGTACAGCTGGCTGGGGGACTCAGAACTAGCAGGTAGACCTCTGCCTCTGGCTCCATCAGATTCACCAGTGGCCCTAGCAGGGAGGTGACCATGGTCTGCACAGGGGACTAGATGCTCTGACATAGCTGGCCAGATTCAGAGATGCATCAATATGGCCTGGTGCACAGAGAAATGTCCACTTCAAGTGGGCCCCAGAGAATATGCTGGTGTCATATCGGGTCTTTCGACACCCTGTGCCTTCTGAGAGCTGCCTCCATCCCCTAGTCCAACAGGACATGCGATCAAGGGGTCATCGTGCCCAACAAGCCTGGAGCGGCCAGCTTCCTCCTTAGGGCCTGGCTGTCCCCCATCCGGTTGGCAGGAGCAAGAGCCATAGCTAGGGCTTACCTCAGCCCCGCCACAGCAAACCAGAAGCCTGGAAGAGAATGGCGACACTGCCTGGAGGCAATAAAAACCCAAATCCGTGCTTCATCTCAAAAGTCAGCTTTTTTATTTCTGGGGCCAGGGCCCAGGGAGGAGAGACTGCCGAGCTAAAGCATCGTTGCTCTCTTTCCAGGAAATGTTGTGAGGTGCAGTGAAAGCTCGAGATGTTGCATTTTTTTCAACCCAAGCATGTGTTTTTCAAAAATATCATCCTTCTCCCCCCACCCCAACTAATTTTAGAATCAGACCAAAGCCAAGCTACTGTCCTCTGTTTCTGTTGGGAAAATACTATATTTATTCGAGATGCAGAAGCGTGTCTCTGCAAACCTCCGATTGCTTCAGGAAAACAAATCTGCTTTAGACTATACAGAACCGTGATACAAAATTTATTTCATGCTCGAATCGCTTTGCATAACATTGGGCATGCAGTTTTTAGCTCTGAAATACTAAATTGCATACAGTGCCAGGTTGTGCCTTGGTAGAAGAGGAGGGAGCCCCTCCTGTGGTCCTGAACCTTTGGTGCTCTACATCCTGGTTTAGAATAACACTTAGAAAATCCATGTGGTACTGATTATTTCCTATGAACAATTTGTATGAAAGTCAGTCACACTGGATCTACACACCGGTAAGATGAGAGGATCAACCTAGACTAGCCGCTGTCAGGTCTTGGGGAGACGTCTCCTGGGTCACAAGCATGCCAGACAGAGAAGGAGGCGGCAGCGCGAGTTTCCACAATTCTATTCGAAGCAAAGTTCTCAGTTTCCGTGTGAGAGGTGAACTATGAAGGTGAGGTCAATATGACCGATGACTGACCGACTGCCCTTTTTGGAACCTTTGCTTTCCATCTTGTGTGCAGAGAAGCGTTCCGTTCTCCAACCCGTCTCTCCTCCCCGGCCCTCCCACCACCACTCCCGGAAATGTACAGGTTTCTACCGAACGCTGTTACAGTTGGGCTCCACCAATGTGTGTAAAAGTAAAGATCTCTGAAAGAAAATATGGGACTTTTGCCGTTTCTTTTCATTATCGTTGTTTAGGGTAATTATACAGTTGCAGGGGGTTGGTGGGTTTAGTTTGCTGGGTTTTCTGTTTAACTTCATGCAAGTCATGCTAAGGATCCCCTCCACCCACCTTCCCAAATAAAATAAACTTTTTAAAAAACGAAAGGAAGAAAAAGAAATCCTCTACGGTCAGTTACCATTTGGCCGTAGGAAAAGCTACGTCCGTCCTAGTACAATGCCTGTGCCTCTCGGACTCGTCCGGCAAACCTGCATGGCGTGAATTACTCTGTCCGAGGGTGAGGAGGGGCTGCAGGTCCACCCAGATGCTTAATAGCCACCAGTGTCCTCGGCCAAGCCGCCTGGTCAAGTCACTCTCACAGCCTCTGTCGGCATATACTTAGCAATGACAGGGCTTTCTTTGCAAAGATCTGTATGTAAAGAATACAATTAACACTTGAGCTTCTCTTCTTTGCTTTCCCGTCCCGCTTGGTACTTAGTTTTTAAGGATGGAGGAGGAAAGACAGAACAGCCGCATGCAGAGGCAGGCAGGTTCTTCTCCAGCTGGCTTGTTTCCCATGCAGCGAGCCAGCCTAGCAGCCTCTTTCTGTTCCTTCTAGGGGAACGGGTGGTGTCCCTACTTCTCCTACTCTCTACATGGTCTCCAATACCTGCTGGTCTTGTGGCTCAGAATCACGCCTAGAAAAGCAAGTCCTCAGCAGCTGTTGGGACTCGGGAGAGGTGGAGCTGTGTGGACAGAGGTGGGACCCTGTGCCCTCACACCTTCCAAAGACTGAGCTCCTGAGCCAGGATAGGATGGGACAATGGGTATCACCTGTAGACAGCGGTTGCTGCTGGGCTCTGGCCATTACAGGGAGATGGGCTGCCTTTGTCCCACATTCCCTGGGCTTCCGGAAGCACAGTATAGAGAGTCCTGTCTGCTCTTCTAGGCCACACCAACTGACACAACATTCAAGGGAAGGAGAAAGGCAGCCATCAGACCTAACTGGGCAGGGTGCAGCCCCTAAGAAAGATCTCCCTGCCTCTCTCCAGGATGGCCCCTGCTCCTGGGCCTTCTAGCGTCTCCACAGGGGAAAACACCAATGGCAGATGGGACCAGCAGGCCCATCCATGGGTGGTGCCAAGGATGGCGGCCCTCCCCAAGGCTGGCAGCCCTCTGCCATGCAGCACCATGCGGGGAGTGGTACGCTCCAAGGGACCTCCAGACAGAGCAAGGAAGCAGGGGCCAGCCAAGCTCCAGTGGGCACAACTCAGCACTAGTGACCCAAAGGACTTTTCCTCATCTCAGTATAGGCTGCCTTTCCTCTTCTAGGTTTGCCTTTGATTTTGAAATCTGTTTTCTTCTTGCATCTGGTTTAACTGTTTCAAATACTGGAGCAGTTGACAATGGCCACAGGCTACACCAGCTGTTGCTCTAAAAAATTCAAGTATTTATCTGACCCGGCCTGTGCCCTCTGCCAGCAAGCATCTATGTGCCCTTGGGAGGTGCTCCAGACATGCACGAGCTGCCCAGCCAGTCCACTGCACCGAGAAAGACTCGGGCCACCTTCTAGGCCTGGAGCCTTTTACCACGGCACTCTGGATGCCCCCAAGCCTCTCCCCAGCCCATGCTCAAGCTCTACTAGAAGCCTGTTTCCAGCAGGGTCAGCCTGAAGTTCTGACTACTGTACAAGACCTCCCACAGAGGCCACGGGTGGGCTCAGCCCTCACCAACCACAAGGGGGCGCTCACCACACTGGGGCAGTGGCCAGTGAACACTGGGGATCTAAGATGTAGCACACATTCTCTTGTCCACCTTGGCAAGTTCTCTATCTGCCACTAGCCTGGCACATACCTAACCTCTGTGAGGACAATGGCTTTGTCCCCAAATCCTGAAGCCTCCCCTCCCACTGGTCTGTGGACTCTCTTTAAAGGGTGCCTCTTCCATAATATGGATCTTGGATTGCTAAACTCACAGGTCTTGACCAAGTTATGCCCACCCACCTCTCTGCCCTCTTCAGCCAGGGGAGAGAAGAGATCATGTTGCCTCCTGGACCTGCCCTGCCCCTGTGGGAGCAGCCTGCAAAGAGGCTCCTCCTGTTTCCCTTAGTACCCCTTGCTTTGGGATCATGGCCCATAGTCTGTGAGCCTGGGCCAGGCCTCTTTCTACCACCTCAGCTTGATACCAGCCCACAGCTGCCTGAGCCTCAGTTCTGTTCTGCCAGCCTCACACTTCACCTCCAGGGGCTAACCCTGCGGGAATCCCTCCATCCTTGCCCACCTTCATGTGCCTGCCTGCCCCTCAGCGTCCCGCCCCCGCCGCCCTGCCCACCCATCTGCAGGAGCGGCCCAGCGATGCGCAGTGCTCCAGCTTCCTCTACATACCCTTTCTCATTCCTCCACCAGGTGGGCACGCGTACTCCCCGGTTGATAAGAGGAAGCAGGGTCCGTATCTCTCGCGGGTGCCCGAGCGTGTAAAGGGCAGGCCCTCATCAGGAGTGAGGGCCTGGTCTATGTGGGGGCAGTCTTCGTTCGCCAGCGCGGCCTTCGCCACCTCCCCATTCAGTTTGGAATCTTCAAACATATAAGCAGAAGCTATTGAGATACTGAAAACTGTTTAGTGAGGGGGGGGGAGGCCAGAGGTGGGGCTTTGGCAAAGGGCAGCCCATCCTGCGGATTCCAAAGCGGGCGGGCCACAGAGGAGGGTGCAAGGCCTGGGGAACCTCGGCTCATTCCAGCAGCCTCCTGGCTACCCACAGTGCAGGGAGGGAGGGACTCCTGGGTTTGCTCAAAGTTTGCAAAAAGATGAGTTGGTGATGGGCCTAGCATGCGCACTGGGGGCTGGGCCCGAAGCCCAAGGTGGGGCTGATGAGACAGGATGGTGTGGATGGCAGTCATGGGGAAAGGGTCAGACACAGAGCTCAGGGAGAGACAGACAGACACGTAGAAATGCTCCAGTCTGGAGAGGGCCTTTCAGACCCCTCTGCAGCTGACCAGAGCCTGGCTGCCTCCTGTCAACATCCAGGAAGTCACTCGTACTTTCCCAGCCACATCCACACCCCATTCAATCCACTGCACTGCACCCCCATTTGGATCCCAACTGATCACTTGATTCATGCGGTTGTCACCCCCCCACGCCCCAAGTCATGGCTCAGCCTCCCCCCCCGTCAACCCAGATGGACTCATCTGGTCCTCGTGGTGTCTCATTCTCCATGCAGACTAGGCTTGTCACATCTGCTCAGTCCCCTCAGGGACCCAACCTTGTCACTCTAGCTCTGTCCCCCACATAATCTAGGCCTGCTCATACCCTCTGCTTTGTCCCAGACTGACTGATTCCCTACCCCCTGCACTGAAAGGCCCTGGTCACACATTTCAACTCTGTCCTGTAGGGACCCAGTCTGACTGGGCTGCCCTATTCCCCATGCACACTAGCCCTGGTCACACTCTTCACTCTGCCCCCAGCACAGACAAGTTTGACCCTTTCATCTGTTCGGTCCCCATGCAGACCCATGACAGCACTCAGTACATCGGCTCCCACACATGCCAAGTCAGTGTCTTCCCCAGTGGGCCTGGTCAGCTTGCACAGCCACACAGGGATGTAGGCATGAGGCTGTGGCGGTGGGACATGGACGTGGGAGGGGCTCCCATTCCAGTCTCCTCTGTCAGTGTCCCCAGCAAAGCAGAGCAAATGAATGTGTAGAAGACAACAGCGGTTAATGGACCGGGGTGGGGGAAAATTCGAGTCTTGGCCTCTGCAGTAGCCTGAGAAGGAACCTGGGAGGAGGTCTGGGGCCATCTTTGGTGGGGGCAGTGTGACCAGAGCAAGGAGCCCAGGTGGGCTGGCAGGGGTGGCTCTGACTGGCTTTGCCCCCACCCATCACTCTTGGGGACTAGCCCCATGTGCTCTGTCCTCAAAGCAGAAGCCTCCTGGCTAGGGTGGAGCCAACTCAAACATTGCACCTAGGATGAGCCTCAAGGGCAGGCCCACTTGTGAAAGAAGGAAACCAACATGGGCCACCACTGCCTAAGACTCAAGAGGGGAAGCTGGAGACAATTTCCGCCTGATTTGACCCTCCTGTGATCCTCCTCACATCAGTAACTGCAAGAAGGAGTGAGCCTTCGCCACGTGCACACCCTCGGCGTGCACGTGGATGGGATTGACACCTGTGTACATATTGTGTCACTACAAAGAGGCAGTCAGTCAAAAGAGAAATGGACCAATCAGGTTTATTCATAAAGCAATCCAAAAAATCCCATCATGATTTTGGAACTTAAAAAAAAGTCTCTCGTACAAGATGGCAAAGCATTTCATGTACAGTGCGTTTCTTGACAAACCCCAGGGGCTTCACTCCCCAATTGCTCTGAACCAGAAAGGGCCAGTTACCAAGGAAACGCTGACACCATGTGACTGGGCTGGGGGCTGCCTATGCGAGGGGCGGGTCTGCCAGCACACGGGTGCTCACAGTGGGCTGGAGAGGCTTCCTTCCTACGGGTCTCTGGGCTGGGAACGGCATGGCCGTGAAGGGGATGAGGGTATGGAAGTTGGGATCCCCAGTACCCCGAATGAGTTTTCCTCCAGGGGAAAACAGCAGGCCTTCCAGGAGTGTCTGGTCTGGGAGGGGAGGGAGGACTTGCTATCTGTCTTGGTCATCAGCTGTCAGTGGAAGGTCCATAGCCTGCAGTGCTTGTCGAGGGGAGGGGTCAAAGGTGGCTGCCCCTCTCTGCCTCTGCCTTCACAGGTGTGCAGCCTGAGACCCCTCCTCTGGCTCTGTCCCCAGCCCCTCACCCGGGGCTCTCAGAACTTTAAAGAGCCCAAAGTTGGGCTGATTTTCCCTGAAGGTGCAGGGGCAAGGAGCAGTTTATCGGGGTGCCTGGCATGGGGGTTCCCAGAACACTCCTGGGCCTGCTTCTCCCAGCCCTGACCTCTGATGAGGGGACTATGACAGACTGTTAGTTTATCTGCAACTGGGGTGCTCTCAGAAACTGGGCTACTCACCCCAAACACACTCCAGTGGGAAAAACCAAGGAGGGGCCAGCTGTCTAACCTGGGGAGCTGGTGAAAAGACACAGGTGCAAGCTTCGCAAGACCTCCAACCCCACACCCCTCCCTGCCCCAGTCCCAGCTTCTGGGTGAGATGGCAGCCAGGAGCCTCGGTTCCCACCTGCTTTCCCCAGACCCCACTAAACCCACAGGCCTGTGATGATGGAATGAAAACATGGGCAGCGTCTCAGATGGTCTCCAGGCTTTGAAATGGGCTGAGATGAGCGTCCACAAAAGGGTCATTTTTTTTAAAACTTTGGAGCAAGGAGAACCTGAGTGCCTGGGCCCTTAGCCAGCAGGCTGGCCTTTCTGCCCCGTCTTCCAGCACGGCTGAGGTACTTACTGTTCACACCAGTGGTGGGTGCCAGGGGGCGCATGCAGGGCTAGGGTAGGATGGGGGCTGCTGGATATATCCTTGGGGTTACCCCCCCCCGGGTCTGCCCATCTGGGGACTCAGGAAAAAACGTCCCAGGCTAAATGGGAACAGTCTGTGAGACATAATCACGAGAACCAGCACAAGTCATGCAACAAAACGAGGAGAGAGAGAGACATGATTAGTGGAGAGAGAGAGAGAGAGAGAATGTGAACAACATGGAAAAGAACACCACACCTGGCTCTCAGAATCAGCTCATTTATCCACTGCACCCCTCAGCCCACCAGGGACAATGAGGACCCCACTTGGGGTCCAAGCTGCCAACCCTACCTGGCTGCTGGATCCTGCCTGCTCAACACCGCTCCCATCCTGTCACCCACCCTGCCCCATGGACTAGCACCACTCCCTGGGCAGCCACCACAGCCCAGCAGGGGACAGGTGCAGGGCAGAGATGCAGCCTGTAGACTCTGCTGTTCTAGGAGAAACCCACCCCCACAACAGAGTGACCCAGGGGTGCAATGGTGACACCAGGGGCCCAGAAGGGCTTCTCTGAGACCTTGCTGGGTGCAGAAAAGAAGCCTGGCCATCACACTTCCCTCATGCCACACCTCCTGCTCACCTAGATGTGACCCTGCATCACAAAGCACTGACCCAATCAGAGGAGCAGATATGGACAGGACGCACGTGAGTGGACATGGCAGGACAGTAGGAGTGCTCTGGGCCATCCAGGGCCTCTGGCTGTGCCCCTTATGGGAAGAGGGTGCAGCTTCTCCTGGGTGGCCACCCCAGGTAGACACTGGATGTACCCTCCTGTCCTCTCCCTCTGGGGCCTAACCATCCAGGTGAGAACCAGACCCTTGACAGCCCCAGGACAAGACCCTCAAACATGGACACCATGCCAACCACATTCCAGAGGAGCAGACTGGGTCATCTGTGGGACAGACACACAGACTGAGGTTACAGGAATGACTAAGAGGGGGAGGGGGAGGGAAGGAGCTGCTAGCAGCCTGGGAGGCCTGGGGTTGCGGGTGGGGAGCCCTCAGGGTCCAGCAGGCTGGGCATGGGTTTAGAAGTGGAATTGGAGAATCCTGCAGGCTTTGTTCTCTACAAACCACAATGCCTTCCTGGCCTCTGTCTTTTCCCTTATTGTTACAAACTGCTTCCCAACCCCATACCCATCTAGTGCATAGGTATAAGTAGACAAGGAGGCCGTGGACGGAAGGCCAGTGCGGAGGTGGGAAGGACACCCCTTCTTGGTGACAGATCATCCGGTCTCGTATACAACTTGTGGAGAGAGGAGGGATCTGGTGAGGGACGAGGCGCAGAGCGGGACTGGGGTGTCTGGGCAGAGCCCAGAGGGTGGGCTGAACACCAGGACAGCACCCACACCACTACGGGAAGTGAGCACTTGGGAGGGGATGGGAACAGGCGTGGAGGCTGAGGGGCAGGGCAAGAAGGAGGGTAGGTATCCACCCTCCAGAGGACAAACTTAGGCAGCCGGTGCCTCCTTGGCCATAAAACTGTTCAAAGCAGAGCTCTCTGGGTCCCTGAAACCTGGAGCCAGATGAGGTAGCTGCCAGGGATGGGGCCACTGAGGCCAAGGAGGGCTTGGGAGCCCAGAAGACCTAGTTGTCCCTGGGCCTGGCTGGTGTGTACATCTGAACACACGAAACTACTCTCGCGTGCGCGTGCGTGTGTGTGTGTGTGTGTGTGTGTGTGTGTGTGTGCACCCTCAGCACATGGGTAATACTGTCACTGCCTAGACATTCAGTGAATGGGCCTCCTTGTTGGGCTGGCCCGAGGGCCCCATCCTTGGGACTCCAATCCTGAAGGACACAATGATCCGGAGGAGGCACCAGGAAGGCCTGTGGTGCCACGGTGATGCCCCTCAGTGCATGCTTCTGCAGAGCTTTCCCCAGAGTCCCTGGAACTGTCCTTGCCCTAACAGTGGCCCCTGAGATTAAATGGCTGCCTAATCAAAAGCAGGGCATGGGCACGAGCTTCCCAGTGACAATTATGACTTGGTTAAGAGCCCCTCCTTCTCAGTGCCCTCTGTTTCAGCCTCTGGGCTCTGTTCACCCCCATCCCAGTTCAGGACACAATTCACATTCTCTCAGCTGCCTACAGGAATCTGGAAAGGGAGGGTATGGGGGTGGCAGAGGGGCTGGAAAGCCCGTTTGGAAAGAGAACTGGGCCTTGGGGCTAGTGCTCTGGCTGGCGCAGCTGTAGGATGGCAACAGAACAGGACCGGGGTGGGGTGGTGGGTCAGAGAGCATGGCAGCAGGGAAGGAAATCAATCATCCACCGAGGGAGGCCACCCAAACCAGGGGAGACTTCCTCACCTGAGGCCGTGCCAGCCTGGGCACGGGGATGTCTTTCCTAGACTAAATGGATCTAATCTCTCACATCAACCTCATGCTCACCTAGGTACTCTTTCGTGGCTCAGTCTTGTCATTCTTCTCTGGGTCATCCATTTCTTTGAGATCTCTGTGTCCACAGAATAAGTTGATGGCATTCCATGGATAGAGGTAGACTATGGGCTTTTTATATCTTCGGACCAGAGCCCCATGATCCACTTTATGTGCTATGTGCAGATTCTCATAAAACTGAGATAGTCCCATAATGAACCACCAGCCATGGAATATTAGAATATATCCCACAGTGACTAGTATTGTTTCGTGGGCCCCTCCCCCCTCACCAACCCCCAGTGAGTTCACGAGAAAGTGGTTGAACACTGGTTGGGATGTCTTGTATTGCTGCTGCAGTCCCTATCACTGGACCTGGGGACAACCCTCCATAAGAGGTTGTTGCTGGTCTGTAGTGCTTTCATCTAAGCTGCCGGGGTGGTGGCCCCTCTAGTCCTTTGCTCACCAGCCACTTCCATCAGAAGGTCACCGGAAACTCCCACTGGACCATCAACCCAAACAGACATCGTGAAAGCCAGAGTCACTCCAACAGGTTCCTAAAGATAATCGCTAAACTCTAGAGTGGTGGTAGAGGATGAGTTGGTTCAGCATGCTATGGGGTAAGTAAGCTTGTCACAGCGGGCTGGGGCGTCTCCTAGGAAGGACCTGGAGCTAGGCAGCCGGAATCAGAGCAGGAATTCTACTCAGCTATGAAGTCAGGCTCTGCCAGGGCTGAGAATCCTCACTACTGCCTTTGCAGGGACCCTCCTGCCCGGGTCCCATGCACCATTTCTGCCGTGTACACAGCCTGAAAAGAGCCGTGTTAAGGACCAAATCGAAAGCGGTCTGGCACCTCCGATCGCACCCGCACCCGCCCTGCTCCAACACTGGGTCAGTAGCTTGAGTCAAGGACTTGTGCTTGACTCCTGCCCACCTGAGCCGCAGCCCCCGGCTCCTGCCAAGAGAGTCCTCAGCAACCTCATGGGCGTGTGGTCTCCCCAGAACATCGTGAGACCAACCACATCCACCTGCTTACCAGGGCCACCAGCGAGGTTCCTCTAGCAGGTTCTTGCCTTCTGAATGTGGCCACCCAGCATTTCCCTGGGCCCCCGGGCTCCACACCTTGAGACTGAGTGCAGGATCCGGGGTTGCCCACGGAACTAAGGAAGCAGTCTGACTGAATCTGGAATCAATCGCTACAGGGGGCGGAGGTGAAAGGTCAGATCGACATGCCTCTAAGAGGTTTCCTACCTGCTCTGTTAATTTCTAAAATTTCTTCCTGGGCCAGCGGACATGTGTCACTCTGAGTACTGTGGTGTGGAGAGTTTACGACAGATTTACAATAATTGGGAGATCCCAGCTGCGGTGGCCGTGGAATATGCTTCTTTTTTTTCTTTGGTAGTTTCTGCTTAGCCATGGCTAAGGAGTAGTACATCCCAAAATTGTTCACGATGACAGGCACGGGCATGGCGATGGTCAGCACGCCCGCCAGCGCACACAGCGCTCCCACCAACATGCCGGACCACGTCTGCGGGTACATGTCTCCGTAGCCCAGTGTCGTCATGGTGACCACAGCCCACCAGAAGCCGATGGGGATGTTCTTAAAGTGTGTGTGCTCGCTGGCGCTGGGGTCGTTGGGCTGTGCCCCTATCCTCTCTGCATAGTAGATCATGGTGGCAAAGATGAGCACGCCCAGGGCCAGGAAGATGATGAGCAGCAGGAACTCGTTGGTGCTGGCACGGAGCGTGTGGCCCAGGACCCGCAGCCCCACGAAGTGACGGGTCAGCTTGAAGATGCGCAGGATTCGCACAAAGCGGACGACGCGCAGGAAGCCCAGGACGTCCTTGGCGGCCTTGGAGGACAGGCCGCTGAGCCCCACCTCCAGGTAGAAGGGCAGGATGGCCACAAAGTCAATGATGTTGAGTGAGTTCTTGATGAACTCTACCTTGTTGGGGCAGAAGACAACACGCATGAGGAACTCGAAGGTGAACCAGACCACGCAGACGCCCTCGATGTAGGTGAGGAAGGCCTCTGTCTCTGCTTCCCGGTAGTAGCGCACCTGTGTGCCATTCCGAACATTCTCAATCTCCGTCTTATTTACGATGGGGTTGAAGCGCTCGTGGGTCTCCAGGCAGAAGGTGGTGATGGAGACCAGGATGAAGAAGAGGGAGGCAAAGGCCACATACTGTGGGCAAGAAACACAGTGTCAGAGGGGAGCCCCCCCACCCTGAGTGGAGACACCTGGGGTCCCTCGCATTGGGTCCAGTCAGAGGGCCAGGCCAAGGGAAGAGGCCTGCACAAGGTCTCTTCCAACACAACCCAAGCTGACATACCGTGTTCCCTTCCTTGGGCCTTGAGGGGTGTACTCTACTGCCAGGCCTGGCTGTAAAACCCTCCTCCTTCACTGGGAATGCTTTCTTTCCCCAGGAGCCAGCAAGGCCACCACCACAGGGAAGGTGTCTGGGTCCACTACATACGCTTACTGAACTGTTACCTGACTGGGAAATATTATACAAAGCCACAGACATCTGGAGGTGATTGCTTAAAGTATTTAGTTACCTGACTAATAAATACAGCAGAGCTTGTCAGAGCTGCAGTTTGAAAAAAAAAAAAAGAGAGAGAGAGAGAGAGAGAGAGAGGGCAGCCATGGCCTCATTCAGGGCCACATCTCTCTCCCAGCTCGGGTCTGTCCAGGTGAAGGAGCGCCAAGGCCTCACCCTGCATCAGCAGCAGAAGGCACCCAGACAGCTTTGATGACCCTCTCCAGCCCTGAGGGGAGTCCAGGGAGGCCTAGAACAGCCCTGTCTGAGTTGACCATGACCACGAGGCATGGCACTCGACCTGGCAGAGATCTGAGAACCAGGAACTAGGTGGACCTTGCAAACCACATTCTGGGATGAAGGCAGTGAAAAGAAAAGAGGAAGGACAATGTTGGCATTTCAGAGCAACAGAACGGGAATGGTCTCTACAGATGATCTGGTCCAAACGACTGCATGCTACAGATGAGAAGAGGCCCAGAAACAGGAAGAGAACTGTCTACGCTGCTTATTACTGTGTATTTATGTCCTGTTGGTTTTACAGCATTGTAGAATTTTTAAAACCTTTCTCCAAGACTACTCTCAAGTGTGATCCAATGCACCCTTCCATCCACCTCTTCTTTTCATTCATCTACCATCCTCTTCCTTCCTTCCTTCCTCTTCCCCTCCCTTCCGTCCATTCAACCCTCTTATTTCCATCCATCCATCCATCCATCCATCCATCCTCTCTTCTTCCCCTTTCCCTCCTTCCCTTTCTTCAGCCTGCACACTCATTCATAAACCTCCCTTCTCTCCTTTTGCTCCTTCCTCTCTTCCTTTCTGTTTGCCACTCCAACCACCTTTCTTCTTCTCTTTTCTTTTTACCATCCCTTCTTCCCTCCCCCCTTCTTCCTCCATCCATCCGTCGGTTCGTGAATCCACCCTTTCTTCCAGGCATTCCTCAGCAGCCACAGGTTTTGCCCAGCACAGAGTGAAATCAGGCCTCTCTCCAGCTCTTAGGGAGCCCTGTGCCAGCTAAGGATGAAGGACACATCCAGAGACCAGCACAGTGCAGTAGACTGGTGACCCCCTCAACCCTATGAAATGGGAGGGGTGGGGAAAAGGTGACAAAGAGGCAGGGTAGAGACTTAGAGACTTAAAGCCAGGTCTTCCAACCCCAGAGGCCCCTCACTTAAGAGTCCAGATGGTTTAGATCAGGGGCACCCGCCACAGAGGAAGACCAGGAAAGCAAAGTGGCGCAACTGGAAGAGGCCTCCTCACAGCCAAGCTCACCTAGATCCAGAGCTCTTTCCGTCAGCAGAATCGCCAAAGCTACTGGAGCTAAAGAGTCCATCTCCACCTGCTAAATATCTGGCCCATGATTCCCTCTGGAATCCCCATCTTGGAGCCTGCATTCACAGTCCAGACTCCCCAAGGACAGACCGTGCCCACAGCCATGTCCTGCCCTGGCCTTTTGCCAAGCGGAGAAGAACAGGTACCCTGTGAGTATGAGGGAAACTCAGAGCCCAGCCCTGTGCAAGCGAGCTCCTGACCAGTGGCAGAGGCAGAGAGTACCCCGCTGTCCCTCACTGTCCCATCAATCAGGACAGGGCCGCCCAAACCCTCTCACATCATCTTCTGCCTCCTGATTCAACAGGACCACTGCCATCAGAGCAGGCCTTAGGCTTCGGTTTCAACCACTCAGCTACCAGAGAGCCGCCCATGGGAATCCCAGCTCTGCCAGTGCCAGATCCCAGGCTTCCCACAGAGAAAAGCCAAACCCCTCAGCCTGGCACGTGAGGCTCCCCATGCCCTGGCCTCACTCGGCTTGTCAGGGTTCTCTCCCTACTTGTACCCAACAGTCCTGTCCCACGCAACTCTCTGCCATTTCTGATCACAGAATGGCTCCCCGATCTTTGTGCCTTTGTACCTACTTTTCATTCTACGGCAGAGTATCCCTGCCAGCTCCTAGCTGGGAAAATCCCATTCATCCTTCAGTGCCCTGTTAATAGCCCTTCCCTTGGGGTGAGGCACCCATTGGCATCTGTGGTCCTGAGAGGTAGCAAATGAAAGGACTCCCCAAGGAGTCTCCATCCACCCTCGGGAGACAGCAAATCTGCCTCCAACTCCAGCTCCTTAGTGCCTGAGGGGCTCATGGGAATAGCCAGATGGGGCACTGATCTCCCCAGAGCCCTGTAACTCCCGAACTCCTACAGGCCTTCGGTGTTCTCATCTCACTTGCTCTCTCACAGTACAGATCCTGATGGGGAAACTGAGACCCAGAAAGAGGTCAGGCATTATGCAGTTAATGTGGAAAAATTCTTGGTTACCAGAGATCAATGGACAACGCAGGCCCCATGAGTGGAGAGTGGACAGCAACAGCCAAGCCTAGAGCAGACATGAGGATTCCATCCCCAGGAAGAGCCAGAAGGGGTGGAAGCTGGGCCTCTTGCCTGCCTAGGCTCCCCGGTCACCTGCCTTCCTGGCCTCTGCTGCTGCAAGGCCTGGTCATCTTCTGTCCCAGGCAGAGCCTGCCCCAGCAACATCCTGATCCAAGTGGACCCCTAGAGGGCTGTGGAGGAAGCTGCTCCTGGCTTGCTCAGATCACAAGTTGCCCTAAACCCAGGGACCAGTAGGAGGGCAATCAGAGGCACAGCTAAGGCAAGAGCAGCTGAGCCCCCAGTGTTCTCTGCTCACGTCTAGGACTGCTGAGCACAGAAAGGAGAGGGAAAGGCAACCAAAGCTCAAGAACCTACTCTGTGCCTTTAATCCTTGCACTGACCTGGCAGGACAGGTGGCCATATCCCTATTGTGTCAAGAAGTAAAACCAGGAACTGAGAGGTTCAGTTTTAAAGCTAATGATGAAACTGAGATGTGGACCCAAGCCACAGCCCTCCCTGCTGGACAGCTGGCCCCAGATTGTGTCTGGATGGTTGCATTGTGGAACCTGGCACCTACAGCCCAGGCTTGCTAAGAGCAAGTCATGCCAACCCCATGACAGAGAAAGCAGGAGCACCTGGATCCACAGGCAGGAGCCTGGCCACCCCTGAATCATTCTTAGTCTCTACTGCCTGTGCCTCAATAGTACCTGGGGCAGAACCAGCCATGGGCTGGGAATTAGGGATGAATGCAGACTCAGATGGTCTAGACTGCATAGCCCCCTTTGGACCCAGGAAGAAAGGTCTCAAGTTGTTCAGGGAGCTAAGAATATGGGGTTAAGAGTATGGAAGGGGGAATCCTGAGGCCAGCTGAGCCTGAGGCCCAGAACAGCAAGCCTTGGAGCAGCCTTGCAGCAACCCTGGACCTGTCATCCCCAGAGGAAGGGGAAGAGAGGCTGCATCCTTGTGAGCTGCCTGCCTCCCATTCCGCAGTCACCCAGAGACCACAGAAACAACAACCCAGACACACAACCCGGAATACACACTTTCCCTCTCCTAAGTGTAGGCACTGAGCACATGAGCACACAAGCTACAACCCTGGGCCTCAGGCATACACAGAGCACAAGGAGCCTTCGTAGAGCTTGCTGAGACCATCACAGGACAACCAGACACCCAGGTGCTGTACTTAAAGGTGCACACACGTGCACATGAATGCACACAACTCATGTGTAGACACTGTGAGGCCCCCAATGCTACAGCAGGGGTACCATGTGGCTGCAGGCACAGATCCAGGCACTGCTGCCCACCCTGTTACCCCTGCCTCCAGACAGTGACTGATTGGTGCCTCACCTCCCACAGTACGAGCAGCTCCAGCCTGCCATGCCTCTACCTCAGCCTTCCCTGAGACCCTCAGCCTGCCTGGCTTTCCTGTCACCTGCCAGGTCTTGTCTCCTTTCCCCAGCCACCAGCTGCAGCAGCTGAACCCCACCACACCCAGGACCTAGGCTGGCTGTTCAGTCAGTCCCTCTTGGGATGCTGTTGAGGTTAAGGACATTAAGGAGGCCATGCCACCCCACCTTGCCAGCTCCACGGCTGCCCCGTAAAACATCAAGACCATGCACATGAGGTCATCTGACAATGCAGCATAAACCCAAGCTGGTAGTTTCTGGCTCTTTTTCCTTTCCAGAACCAAATCACAAACCATGAGAGACCCACCAATTGTGTTCTAGAAAGTGGTAGCCATGGCAACAGAGCGAGGCATCCCATTTCTATAGTAACCAGGGTGGTGAGGCTGTTGGCTGTAAAGTCAGACAAACCGACTAACGATCTGTTGACTTAAGGAGATGCTTTATAAATCACCAAGTTATTTTTATCGTAACCCCACCCCTGAAACCACAAATCAGAAAGGCAATTTACTATCTATTAAAATGACCAATATGTGCTATGACTTTCATTTATGAATTATTTATGTCACAGTCATCATTTAAAAATTATGCTTGCCTTTTAGAGCTGTTCAGGGGTTCGCCATGGGGATCTGTACTCTTGCAGTTCGGTGTTTTCAGGAACAAGGCGGTGCTTGTAACATGGTGCAGGGACTGACTTTCTGGTCTGGCTGCTTACTCCCTGTGTGACCTTGCCAAGTCGCTTCCCCTCTCTGAGCCTCAGTGTCATGATGGTGAAAGTGAGGGTCCGACTTGGTCCCTTCTGGGAATTCTGAAGCAGAGCAAAGTTGCAGACCATAGGTATCAATGATGGCTAGTCAGGGGAGCCGTGGCTGAGGGCCAGGCCCC